AAGGATTTTCCGGTTAGAGTAAGACCTCGTATTCCCACATTCAGCGCATGGACAACACATAAAACCATTCTGCTTGTTTGCCTCAGCCGCATCGAGAAACTCATGCACGCCCTTAATGTACTCGCGGGTGTGTCTGTCACCGTACATCCATTGCCGGTTCATCTACATGCATTATATATAATTAAGTGTCCAAATTAATAGAAATTCATCATCACATTAAAACCAAAGTGCATACATAGTTCTCATCTAACAACATATAGCTCTCCAGAGCATCTAATTAATTAAACCATACATTGAAACTATGTAAAACATTTCAATGCGAAAACAAATGCGATCATAATCGCAACCAAGGTAACAATTGATCCAACGGCATAATGATACCAAGCCTCGGTATGAATGGCATATTTTCTAATCTTTCTAATCTTCAAGCGCATTGCATCCATCTTGATCTTGTGATCATCGACGACATCCGCAACATGCAACTCCAATATCATCTTCTCCTCCTTATTTTTTTATTTTTTCCTTCAACAAATTGTTTTCTTCTTCAACTAAATTTAACCTCTCGACAATAGGGTCGGTTAGCATTTTCGATTCACATACATCCTACATAAATAAAATCTATGTCACGTTGGTCGGCATAATTTTCATAAACAATAAATGAACCAATAGTTATAAAGATAATATATATACCACATCCGAATCATAGACAGGATGAGGGCCGACGGGGGCGGATACCAAAACCATCGCACTATATAAGATGCAATAATAAAAGTAAGAAAATAATACAAGTATCTATGTAAACATACAAGTAAGAATATTTTTCCTTTCAGAAGAAGATAAGAACAAGAGTCTCACCACGGTGGTGCCGGCGATGAGCTCGGCGCGGGTGATCGACGGCGGTGAAGATGGGGACGGGGCGTGACGGACCGCTAAACCTAGACAAATATTATGGAAAATGGAGCTTGGAGGTCGAGCTTGGAGAGAAGAAAGCTTAAGTAGTGTGGCTCGGGCATTCCATCGAACACCTTGTGTGCATAGGAGGTGAGCTAGAGCACCACCAAGCCCTCTCCCCCACGGCCAGAGAAAAACAGAGCACTGGGGTGCTCTGCTCGCGAGCGAGGGGTATATATAGGCACCTCATTGGTCCCGGTTGGTGACATGAACCGGGACTAAAGGGGAGCCTTAGGTCCCGGTTCAAGCCACCAACCGGGACCAGTGGTGGTGGGCCAGGAGCGAGGCCCATTGGTCCCGGTTCATCCCACCAACCGGGACCAAAAGGTCCAGATGAACCGGGACCAATGGCCCACGTGGCCCGGCCGGCCCCCTGGGCTCACGAACCGGGACCAATGCCCCCATTGGTCCCGGTTCTGGACTGAACCGGGACTAATGGGCTGACCCGACCTGGACCCAAGCCCTGTTTTCTACTAGTGTACCTCCATAGTGTGTAGTAACATATATGAGGTGTCATACAACTCTGTATTTATCAGTTTATAGACTCATCTTGTATTGATATGTGTGATGTTACTCATAGTACTAAGAGCATCTCCAGCCGTTTGCCCCCCAGGAGGCACCTTTTTTCGCCTCCTGGGGGGCTGCCGGCGAGAACTTAGGCCTTGGGGGCCAAACCACTTCCACTCGTTGCCTCCCCACGAGCAGCGTTGGACTCCCAAAATCGAAGCGTCATTTCGTCGAGCATCTTGCCCGCGCGGCGTCGACGACCTCCTCGGCGCGAGCCCGGCGGAGGAGCGCGAGCGTCGACGGGGAAGGAGGCGATGAAAAGCTCGAGGAGACATCCTGCAGCTGGAGGCCGACGTCGAGCCGCCCCATGCCCCGCTCCCTCGCCCCGTGCCCTGTCCCTCGAGCTGACGGGGAAGGAGGAACGCCTGGTCGGCGGTGTTGAGGTAGCCCTCCTACTCCGAGAGTGAGCGGTGCAGCAAGAGCAAGCTTGAACATGGCCGCCCTCGCCTACGTGCAAGCGGCGCGTGCGGGAGGCAGCGGCGTAGAGCCGGCCGTCGATGCAAGCGCTGGGGCATCTCCATCCGGTGACCTCCGTGGACTTGAGGCCGCCCCCGCCGCTTTCTCCGCCAGCGACGTACACGCCGAATCAGTGGCGTCGGCGCAGCATGTCCGACACGCCGAAGCTGTAGAACACCACCGGCCGCATGTTGGTGCCTCTGAGCAGGTGCAGGTGGCAGCCACCGAGCACGGCGCAGCTGAACCCGGCGGCGGCCGCGTATTCAGCGGGCACGGGCGGCATCGCGTGCCATGCTGCGGCCGGTGGAGCCGGTCTGCGAGCCGGTCAGCGGACGGGACGGTGACCCGCCCGCGCCGCGCCATCCAGGCCACGGCTGCGCCCTACCTCATCATGGCGTCCTCCACTGTCTCCTGCTCCTTCCCGACGACGGCGTCGCCGAGGCACCGCGCGAGGATGACGGCGTGAGAAACAAGGAAGAGGAGGAGGAGGTTGCTGGTCGCTTGCCTTGTAGACGGGGCCGAAGCCGCCACGCCCGTCCGCCCAGGCAGCGCCGCGCCCGCCCGCCCGCCCGCCCACACGCCATGGCCACACGCAGCGAGCTCCGGCCCGGCCACTTCACGGCCACATGCCGGCGGATGAGCTGCCGCGGCTCCGGACGTGCGCACGAGCAGGCACGTAGGGCGGCCCCGGCGGCGAGCACGGCGACAAGAGACGGCGAGCGGCGCGGTTGGTGGAAGAAAAGACGAGGAGAGAGAGAGCTCGTGGGTGTGTCAGGTGAAAAGTGAGAGGAGAGAGGCTGCATGTGGGCCTTTGCATGCATAAACACATTGTCGGCGCTCCCAGATGCTTCCCGGGGGGCTGGGTTTGGGGTGAGACTGCCGGCGCTAAACTTTGACGAATCCGGCGAAAAATGTGATCCTGGGGCGTGACTGGAGACTTTTTTCGCTGTCGGCGATGAAAAAGTGACCGTGGGGGGCTTCCTGGGGGCGCGGCTAGAGATGCCCTAATAACTAGCTATGTTACTACTTGCATCTCTTTCATCATTAATTACTTGTCATGTCATATAGTTTGTCTAGATAAATGTGAAGTTACCACCTATATTACTTCCACTTTGACTAGTCTTAAGCTAGTCTTTTGCATGCATTCCTCGTTGCTGTAGCAATTTAGAAGATTTTATTAGGAATTTAGCCATTTGAAAGCACAATCAAGGAAAGCAGATTAAAACTATTCAGTATTTACAAAACTGAGGACGAAACATAGAAACTCCTTTGCTTTATTAAATTTAAAGATATATCAAAACTATTCTTTTGAAATAAGGAATACAAGAATCAAGAGGATAGAAATATTGATGGGAAACAAGTATATAGCAAAAAAAACTACCACATTACGCGCTATGGTTACAAAAAACTACCACTTTTTTTTCAAAAAATCTACCATAAAATTGGCTAATTGTTCCAAAAAACACTAATGGTTGAGCAGTTGAGTTTTAAGCTAGATTATGACACCTCGGACCCACTCGCCAGGTAGACCGTTAGTTTTAAACGTTAGGTTGACCGTTGACAGGTTATGACAGATGGGGACCAAATATCTTTAAAGAAGCAATCCGGTCCCTGTTATATTTTAAAAAAAGCAATCGGGTCCCTGTAAAAAAATAAAAAAGCAATCGGGTCCTCACCAGGGAGCTCATCGTCGGAGCCGATGTGCTGGTCTACCAGCGTTGCTCTGGCCGTGGCTGCGGCGGCCATGGCCGGCGGCAAGCAGCAATTGCTCACATCTGGACACCATCCGTCCTCCCGATTCACATCACCGCCGCTAGCTGCTTGCGCGAGCGAGAACGACGCCCCGCGCCATCAACACCTACAGGAGTCCTGTCGACGGCCGGCGAGCTAGGTCCACCTCTGATCTTTGCTGCCCTGGCCGCTGGCCGTGAGGAGCTCCTCCCGCACCTCCGTCGGTCTCCCATCCAGCGCCGCGCACAGGGTGCGGACCGTAGCTTCGGCCGCCGTTGCTGCTCTTCATTGCTGCCTGCTGCTGCTCACTGTTGTTGCCCGCAGCCGCTGCTGTCATCGCCGTCGCTGCGGCTGCTGCTCACTACTGCATCGGCAGCCCCGCCATGGTCAGCCATGGACGCACATTCCGGCCGTGGGCAGCCTGATCTGGCCAGGGCTCGAGCCGGCGAGCTCATCCTCCCCTCCCGACGGTCTCAAGTGCACCTCCTCCCCTACCCTGCCTCCCCTCCCGATGGCTTCAGACGCGGCTCCCCTTGATGATGGCCATTGACGGAGGAAAATGAGGTCGGTGGTTCTAGGGAAGAAGGGGCAAAGAAGAAGCTGACATGGGGGCCCACTTGTCATAACATCAGACTTAAGGGTCAACCTAGCGGTCAAACAAACATGCGGGCCCGCCCTGTCATAATCCGGATCTAATTTTAATCATAGAGTCATTAGTGTTTTTTGGAACAGCCAGCCAATTTTGTGGTAGATTTTTGAAAATTATAGAAAAAAAGTGGTAGCTTTTTGCAGCCCTAACCCGTAATGTGGTAGTTTTTTTTTGCTATATACTAGATGGGAAACAAAAATTAGGGCAAATTGACATTCAAAATAACATGTATTCTATTCATAAAGTTACTGAAATATGAGATAAATTCAAAATAGACATTAAAAACATGCAATTTTTTTAAATACTGAGATCTATGATTGTCCTGGAATACTATAAATAATATGCATTCATAGTGTTTAAAGAATCACTAGTACTACACATGATTTAGCTTTTGAATTTCGTTTTTAGTGTCTGAAACTGCTGCCATGTAATGACTATAACAGCGATGAGAGGGACATGTGAAGAAATGTAAACAATTTAGATGTTTAAGAGTTCAAAAACATTGATACAAACTCGAGATCAAACTAAAACTTCAGCAATAGCTAAAGGACAATAAACACACAAAAGAGTTACATTCCAAAACATTGAAAATCCTTGGAAAAGAATCTGAATCCTCTTTGGTTTGCTATATGAATCATGTGCTCGATCATATACCATCTTGCTCCTGCACAAGGAGGCCGAGCGCAGCGAGGTGGATGTCGATGTCATCCGGGACCGGGTGAGCTTCAACATCCCTCGGAAGCTGCAACAATGCCCATCGTCCGTCCTCCGTCCTCACCATGCCCTTATTCTCCTCCTGCCGCCACCCGGGAGGCACCATGTGCTCGTCTCTAAGAAAGTCGGCGGCCTTGTTGACCAGCGCCGGGTCCCTTCCACCGAGCTCGAACGGCTGGCCATGTGCCCGGTAGCCGTCGAGCAGGTGGAGGTGCGCCTCTAGGTTGTGGTAGCTCGCCAGGTCTCCGGTGGGTTTGAGGAATGGCGACACAATGTGGTCCAGCGCGAGCTCGACGCCGACGTGGGTGTACACGCTCGGCACCCTTAGCGCATCCGCCACCCGCAGCAGCACCGCCGGGAATATCACCTCGTTGAACAGAAAACCGGGCACCTTAGGCACCATGTCGTGCACGTTGCGGATGCGCAGCGCCTTCACGCCCAGCTCCCCCTCGAAGCGCTCCTTGAACCTGGTGTTCCCCACGCGCGGTCCGGCGAAGGAGAAGACGCACACCGGCGCTTTCTTGCCGCCGGCCGACGGAGACACGTTGGCTCCACTCTCGGCGATGTCGAAGGCGCTGATCATGGCCAGCGCGCTGCCGAGGCTGTGGCCGGTGACCGTCACGCCAACCTCCTCGCCCCTCGCAGCGTATCGCTCCACCAGCTTCCGCACCTCGGCGAGCACCTGCTCGCGCGCCGAGTAGCTGCTGAACCGGCACGTTGGGTCCTTGCCGATGTATAGGTCGACGAACCCCCTCTCCACCTTCACGCTCGGGTCGGGGCACGGCACCCCACATGCAGTGAGCGGCTTCAGCATCGCCGTCAGGTCGGACACCCACTCCAGCCGGGTCACGGTGCCGCGCCAGGCGACGGCGATGTCCCGACGTCCAATGCGCGCCGTCTCCTCATCCGTGGACACGGCGACGAAGCCGACGAAAGTGGCGGACTCGCTCCACAGCTTGTCGTCGCCCGGGTTGTGCTTCCAGATGCTGAAGTTTGGGTAGCTTGGGTGACATGTGGCGTAGAGGTACCGGGTGACCTCGTAGCCGACGCCGGCAAGACCCACGTCCTGGAAGAAGGTGCGCGTCGGGTACTTGCAGCTGCCGGAGTAGCGGGAGAAGCGGTCGTAGTCAAAGGAGTCGTAGCAGGCCTGCGCGAACTCGCCGTACCGGATGAGCTCTCCCCGGAGCACCGTGTCGATGGGGTCCAGTAGCCCCTGCCAGTCGTTGCTGCCGTGGAGCTCCCGCCACCGCGACGTCAGCTGGCCGTCGGAGCGGCCTGTCTTCTCGGCGAGAGTGCCGCGCTCCATGTCTCCGACCACGGAGCCGGGCGACATGTTGGCCGGCGCTTCGTCGGCCGACACCGCGGAGGTGACTAGCTGAGACGGGCGTCGGCCACGGCTCGCCATCTTCGAGAGCAGCGACGCCGGACGGAAGTCCCCGGCAGGGCTGTCCGGGAGGGAGCGGGCGAGATTGGAGGACATGGCCATTGTTACTGTCCTCGCGAGATGTACTATGCACGAACGTACTTGTGCGCTATGAATTGTGATTTGTGATGTGTGAGGTTTAACAGTTGGGTCTGGTCTGGTGTATATATACAGTACACCTGTCCGTGTGGTACACTGGCCAGGCTGACAGCTGATCTTTCAGGAGGGTCCACATGCGCCGATGCACATGCATGCAGAAAGCTTTTCTTTATTTCGGTTTTGAGATGTGCATGCACCTGGCTAGCTTTGTGAATCATTTTTTTTAACATAGTACTGACTCATACATATGCGCATATGTTCATCCCTATGAACGCACACCTACTCCTATGAACATCTCCGAGAGACTGAATCGACATATCATCTTGAGATTTACGAAGCCATCATAGACGCCTAATCGTCGATGAAAACGGCTCCTCCCACTGAAAGCGCATCGTCGAAAATTCTGAAATAAATTTAGAAATTGAGAATTTTTACGATGCATCATACTACCTCTGAAAGCGAGTAGTATTGAATCATCTCAGCCGTTGATTAGCGGGGTAGTTTTGTCATTATTTTCATTTCCTAATTTGTCAAATCCCTCGCGGTGACGATCCTCGTGAGGCCTCGTCGTTGCCATCGCCCATGATCAACAGCGCATGCCCAATATCGATCAGAGCTAGCCTGACTGTCTGAGTGCCCTTCAAGTGGGAGCTCCAAGCCCCCGACCTGGCATCAAATCTACCAGCAGGCCACAGAACCGGCGGTATGATGTCCTGATCAGTCGCGGCGTCGTCGCTGCAGCTTCCTATGAGGCCACCGCCACCGGCTTGATCGCCGGAATCACTAATGCATGTATCCACAAATGATCAATCAATCTATTGTACATGGTGATTTCCTCGGCCAAAAATACCAGCCGGCAAGGATCCATCGCTGTGTACAATTGTCTCTGTTGCATTGAATGTCGGCCGGAAAGTATTCGGCCGGACCGGTCCAAGCAGGACAAGAAAACACACGGATTCCTCAATGGATGTAGACTTTAGGTATTTATTTTCTAAGTCTTCCAATTTTACCCCTTGAAAGAAATATACTACTGAATTGCTTTGGTAGTATTGGTGGATCTAGTCCATTAACTGACTGAAAATGGACGGCTCATATTATTTTGATGCACCGTAAAAGGTCTCTAGAAATAATGCGAGCACTAGGACTTGAATCCTGTTAGGCTGGGGATACCACTATCCCTCTAACCATCTAACCACGGGTTGGTTCGCTTCGTGAACCATTTACATTGTGCAAGATGCAAGGGCATTATGTTGGGGTGCGTGTGCGCAACATACACGAGACACGTCCCATTGTTGATTCGTGAGTGGGGCGCAAGGTGAGGACATACACTACCGAAATGCACAAAGTTAACACGATGATTTACCCAGGTTCAAGCCGCATGGTTACGTAATACTCTACTCCTGCTTTGTGCGTGGTTATGTTGGTGGATGATAAGCTACAAGTCCTTCCTGGAAACAGGAAGCATTTTGTGCTCCTACTGGTGTTCTACCAAGTATATAACCTTGTTCCTACTTTCTCCCTTTTTCCCTTCCTCCTTTTCCCCCTTTCTCCTTTTTTCCCTTAGAGCATCTCCAACGGCTGCGGAACACGCGGCGCGCTAAAAAAGCGTTTCCAGCGCCGAAATCGTGAGTTTTTGCGCGCCTCAAAGGGCTGGCTCCAGCGGTCGCTGCAAAATATAGCCGGATAGTATAGGGACGGTCGTTGTCGGGTTAGGTCGTTCCCGGGTCTTGGCCGGTAGATGCTGTTGCCGGATAGTATAGTCTTGCTTCCTTCTTGACTAGGGCAGACTCGAATGATAGCTATGGAGATCTTTGAACAAAGATATGCATGCCATTATGGAGCCTTGGCTTCTTGCGGAATAGATAGCCTCATGTATTCCTTGACGAAGATCTGCATACCACCACTGGGTCACGTATTCCCTGACGAAGATCTGCATACTATCACTGGGTTAAGAGCATCTCTAGCAGACCCCTTACATTGCAAAACTTAAAAGTGTGTTTACAGTTTGTGGCATGCCACGGCAGAACAAAAACTTTAAAATGAACATGCAAAATTTAAAATTAAAACTTCGCGCAAGAAATCGAACTACTCCAATAGGACTACTAGCGTTCATATTTACTTGATCATCATAAAAAAGTCATACACAATCGATTTTTTACAAACTAGATCGGAGGAGCAACGGCCACCCTAACCCTAATGCTAAATTTGGCTCACCAGAGCCATCCGGGTGCCACGGCGGAGGAGCTCACTCATCGTCGTCAAAGACGAGGTCGTTGTAGATGTTGTCATGCGCCTTGGCTTCATGGGGCCACGCTGCCAGGTTGTTCTCGAAGGCATATGCCTTCGCGAGCCCCTGCTCGAGGAGGACTTTGTCGAGGTCGGCTTCCTGTTGATGGCGCTGCTTCGCCGCCTCCTCCTCCTCCCACACACTACGCGCGAGGATGGCGGCCTCGGAGGCATCCACCTCCGCCGGAGGAAGGAAATCCTCCGGCCCGACGCCGCCACCACTCCAGCTCCAGCTCCGGCCCCCTCTTCACCTCGCGGAGCTGCAGGAGCTCCTCCGGCTCTATTTTCACCGGCACGTGTGCCGTACGGGATCTCGATGCTCCGGCGGAGGAGCCGCCCGCTCCGGAGGACAGCAGCGCCTGCCTGCAGAGGAGCGACGGCAGCGTCTGAAGGCCTTGGTTGAGGTACCTCCGGGCGATCCGTTTCCTCACGGTGCCGGCTTTGATGCACCACTTCCGCTCAGGGTCATCGCCACCGCCGTGGCCGTGGCCTCTGCGGACGGAGGACCACACCCCATGCCATATGATGTCCGTCCAATGATCAAGCGAAATCAACGTACAGCGAAACGTTTTCCAGTCGACTTGTCCTCCATGAAAAAAACGGGGATCTAGTTGTAATTTTTCCTTTATAGTGTAACACCGATTTAAGAGTTAAGAACATCTACAGCCGGATCCCCTATTTCCTCCCTAAATGTCGAAACGTCCATCCGGTCAATGCCCGCTCAAAAATAGATGACCCAACCGAACCCTTCACTTCCTTCCTAATCGTTGGACTGATCGACACCCCTCAAACTATGACCAAATTCGGTGGCAATATGGGGATGCACGGTCAAAGCCCGGTCACGCCCTTGCACCCCACTCCACTTCATAGGCCTTCCACACGGTCCCACCTGCAGCTAGCCCACTCCTCTTTCTTCTCTCTCATCTCTCTGTCGATTGAAGGAGGCAACAGTGCGAGCAGAGGTGGCAATGCCTCGTGGAGGTGACGGCGCGGGCGGACAAGGCGGCTGACGATGGCGGGGGAGGCGACTGACGACCTCGCGTGCTGGCTAGCTGGCCGCCATTCTCAGCAAGCTCGTCAAAGTGCTTCTCGACCGTGGGCCAGCCATTGGGCTTGCTGATGAGCTTGAGTCCCTTCAGTGCGTGCGCGGCGACATACCTGGAGTCCTGGACCCGTCGGTGCGGCTGGGGTGGCGCTTGACGGACGCGATGCAGCGGAGCTCCTGCGACACCTACTTGATCCGTGTGGAGGCGTGGAGGCTTTCCGTAGCACGCCGCCATTGGCCCTCCGCCGTATGAGGACGAACAAGTCACCAACTCCCGCGCAAGACGCGTCACATCTTGGTCCTCCTGGCCGCGGCGTGAGCTGGCTGGCCTCGCTTCCGTGGCAGAAGTTGGAGAGGAGCTCGAGCTGCCCATGTCCACCGTCCACACACTCGCCCTCCACAGACGCCCTCGCGCGTGATCTTGTGCGTGCATGCTAGCTAGCCGCCGATCGCGTGCGTGCAGCCTAGCTAGCTAGCCGCGGATCGCGTGCCCATGCTGGAACCGGGGCGCCGCACGCCCGTGTCCATGCAAGCGTGCTCCGAACGGCGACGACGCATCCAACCTGTTTGATAAAGGGCCTGTCTATGTTACATCTAGATGTGAGATAGTATCTCACATCTAAACTGACAGCATCATGTAATCTGTCCTCACCAGTTGACAAAAACAACCAGCGTCGTTGCTTCCGATCACCTCCTGTTTGTTTGTGGCGGCCTGTTTGTTTGTTGTGGGCAGCCCACCCCTTCCAGGCCAACTACCGTCCTCCCCCTGGACCTTTCTTTGTTGGGCTTGTTTGTTTGTTTGACAGACCATAGGTACAAGAACACACAGATAACATTATGTTTGACCCAAAAGGACAGTATGATCTAGCTTCAGAAAACACATAGTTAGCACAGGATGCATGTTCTATGAACCCTGAACATGTACACTGGGAACTATTACAAAAACTGAAAAAACATAATGCATGCTCTCTAAACATGTACACTAAAGAATGAAAAATAACTATCTGGTGAGGGCTCTTTTGCTCTGAATTCATTGTGCATCCTCAACTCTGGTACCTATGCAACAATAACCGTAACGAATCACACCACTGAATTACAAATACTATCTGGCTAGCGCGAACGTAGGGCAACACAGGCACGGGGGCAACTACCCTCACGGGAAAAAGCAGGGCCACAAGGGCTACAGAAACAATGTACATATCTACCTGCAGACACCCAGAGCACAAAAATCGATCTGTGTGGCAGCAATTTTGAGCACGTAGCACGAACACAAAGCACACACGTTTTCAGAAAGAGAGGATGGGAAATGAAGTACTCACTGCCACTTGCCGAGAATTAGCTGTGGAGAAATCTGGGACGGTGTCGAGAACGAGGATCCCGTCAGCCGCGCACAGCTCGCGGGCAGGGCCAAACTTTGGTGGCATGTCGGCGGCGCAGACGTCATCGGCGGTGTGGATGCCGCAGGCCTCGACGGCCGCGCAGCGCTTGCCCACCGTCTTCATAGCGGGTGCCTCCTGCTTCGAGCAGAGGTGCACTGCGGGGGCTCGTCACCGGCGATCTCGGTCGCCATGGGCTTCGAGCTTGTCGCCCCCGTCTCTTCCTCCTCTACTCCACTGATTCAAACAGTGCTCAG